TCGTCGTGAATCAGCGTTTCCCCGCCGAAAACTGAAAATTTCCTGCGGAAAAATTGAAACTCCCGACGAAAAAATATTTTCCCGCAGGAACTGGCGGAATCACGCTCATTTTTTTTCACTGGGTAGCAGACAAAGAGAAATATGTTCAATGACACTTGTCAGAACTTAAGGAAGTTTGAAAAGGAGCGAAGAATAGAAGTGAAAGTTGTTTTCTTGTCACTGCGTAAAGACGAAATGACCTTATTTCGCGAAAGTTTAAAGTTTGAAAGACTTTCTTCGTCGGTAGGATGTTTTCGATGTTGTTTATAAGAAAAATTTCGTCTTCTCATTAACTTTTTAGTTTCTTTTGATATAGCAACTTTAAACGAGGAAGTAAGAGAAACTTGTTTACTTTTCGCAAATTTTGGTAAGCACAAATTAACATGAGACTCCCAAAGAGCAGCTTCTATATTAGGATTAGCCGAAGAATAGAAATCACTAGAAAGCTCAGATAGGGCACAATTTAGTTTCTCAATATCGCACTCACTAAAATTCCAAATGAGTTTAAAAGAAGTAAAAGTTTGTTTGACACTAAAGGAATCAAAAGTTACAACCAAAGAAAAGTGGATTGGCTCACCGATAGATGGATAGTCAGATAAAGAAGATTGATTGCACGTAGAAGGGTACAGAATATAATCTAAACATGAACCGAGAGATGTGGTGGCAGTTGGCTGAGTTTTCGAAAGAGAGAAAGTGTTAGAAAAGGCACATAAAGCATCAAATACAATTTTATCAGACGGGTCTGCATTATAATCACCAGTCAGAATGGGATTGCCGTGATTTTGAGGAAGATTCGAAAAGAGAAATAGTTCAAGGTTGTCAAAATAGCTATTAAGATTAGGATTTTGAGCTTCTGAACGGTACGAGTTGCATAAGCATAACAGAGAATCAGAAATACGGATAGAAAACAGCTGAGTTTCGAGTTGACAGTTGTTGGCTAACAAAGAGTGAGGGAGAGAGTTTCAAATGTACACAGCTACCCCCCCCCAGCAAAAGTTGGTCGATCTAAGCGATAAAATGAAAAATCAGAAATTTGAAGTTCGTTATCAGATATAACGTTAGACAACCATGTTTCTTGTATACACAGGATAGAAAGATGCTGATGTTCAGATGCGAATAAGCGTAAGGAATCAATATGCTTATGAAGACCCTGAATATCATGATTGAAAATAGACAAACCTTTAGCACTGATATGCTTTGGCATACGAAAGGAGAAAGGAAATGAAGGAAGTTTACAGTCAGCTTCATTATTCACGTTAGGTGTCACAGTTTGAAACAAATTGTTATGACTCGACTTAGTCAGCTAATAGTCCCCTTTTTTTACTCTTTTCAAAAGAACATTGTAAAGAAAATGAAACTTATTTAGGCGGACGTTCATCTGTCGCTAACAGGTCGTTGACATAGCCAGATCGCCGTGTATTAGGACTACTTTAAAAGGTTTCAATTGGGTTTCTTTTTTCTTGATATTTCAAATTAATTTTTTTCTCATCATTCTTATCTTGTTTTCTTCTACCTCCTCACATTGTATATATATCCATGCTTAGTTCTTTCTATTTTGGTGTATGTAAAAAGGTAACCAAACATCAATGAAACTTGATTTATGTTCTATAATTGTGTGGTATTAAGAATAAATAATACAATAGTTGTGTAAACGATTTCCAACGAGAAACAGTTAAGCCATTGTACTAAATCACATGAACAAGATCCTTAGTCTTTCTATTAGTCCTTTATAACAAAATGGCTGTTGACCGTCTTTGTTCCCTCAATTCTCTTGAGGATTTTGTGATTTCTTGTTAAACACTTCACATAAAGGGCGTTAACCGAACAACAAGGTGAAGGTCTTTTTCATCTTGTTGTTCTATAGGGTTTGTGGAAAACTCGCTCAAAACCTATCCTATCGACACAAAAATTATGCCATTAGAAAGTAGACACTTTGGGCTATCCAACCATGTGCTTTTCTCAAAATCAATAGTTTCGACGAAAATCGGCATTTCTGACCCGGGGGGAGAGGGTGCCTTAAACACGCTAGTAGACAATATAGAAATAAAATATATAAAAAAAATAAAAGATTGATTTGTCTAATGGTGAATAGCTGAAATTTGTCATGCATTCACAAATGATTTTCTTTGATCTGTTGATAAAAAGGGAGCCCACGTCTTGTAATACTCACACACGATTTTTATTGTACCCTGCCATGAGCATAAGCACTATATAAGTTTTTGTTTTCATAGATGGAGCGTAACGCTGATGTTACACTTGAACATCCAAAGGTTGAACTTGGAAGCGTTCTTTATAAAGATGAACGAATTGAAATAAGTTTTGCTACGTACGATGATATCAATGATTTGTGTAAAGTTATAAATTGGGCATATCGTGGTAAACCAAATTCAACATCCGAATTATATTCTGGATGGGTTGGTGAACAACATTTATTAAGTGGTACACGAATTCGTTCATGTGAATTAAAAGACTACATAGACAAAATGAAGGAAAAAAATCCACCTGAAATTGTTATTCTAGTTGCGAAACATGTGTTTAATAGTCAAGAACAAAAAATTATTGTTGGTTCATTTAAAGTAGAATTATACGACAGAAATTTACAAACAGAAGAAGAAAAACAAGACGGTATTGCTGTTGAATTTGGTTTAAGTTCGGTCGATCCCGATTATCAAGGCCAACGAATAGGAACATTAATGTGGGAAACAGCTATGGTAAGATAAAAAATTAAAAGAGAGCGTCTACAAGAAACGACCGCGTTATAGACAGTGGCAGAAAGCTCGTTTTAAATTCTCGGTCCTTGAATTTATATATCAGTTTAAAGTTTTAAATGGAGGGCTTTAAATAAGAATCTTTTTAAAAAAAGCTGGTATCGGATTGAATCCTTATAAAATTCCCGGTATTCATTCTAACGCACGGAGCCATAAAGATTCGATCACTTAGTGTTTTGAATATAACTTCTTTTCTTATATTCTCAAGGCCCAATATTTTTCCAAAAGATATGCTTTGAAATTTTCTTCAAAACAGTTATTGAGTATTTTATTACAAAACGTTACAATGGAATTTTGGAAACGACTGTAGTTCGTAGAGCAAAACATGTAAAAACTGACGAAGTAATTTGGATTTTTTTGCTCATAATTCATTTTTAAGAAAAACCAAAGATAGGGTTGTGACCAGCGAAGAAAACTGCGTCAAACTAAGTGTTTCCGAACTGATTTGCCGCCTAACTTTCGCGAATAATCAGCTCTTTTTGCATTTTCATGGGATAATATGAATTTTTACGAGGTTTTTAGATGATTTTCAGCTATCTGCGATTACTGCTGTGCCCAGTTGGTAGTGTCAGTGCATCTTATGTGACTGTTGAAGCTCAACAATAAGCTAAGTTAGTTTTTGGCTTTTATTCGTACAGAATATGCTTATCTCAAACTGTAATTATTAGCGATGAAAACTGAGGCCAAGGTGTTTTATCAAGTATTTCCAAAGAGTTAGGTTCAGCTGGTTTGGGCTAACAGCGCCAGTTATTATGGTTTTTGATCCCTTAAAGGCAGTTGACCTTGGTAGTTGATCTTCTCCTCCGCGGTTTTAGGAATGTAAGGAAAAAAACTTATGTCCAAAATAGTAAGCGACCGATTGCTTATGACCCGCCCATTATAGAGAAAATCGAATTATCAACAGTGCCATGTTGTCTCTTTTGTTTTAGCGTGTTTCGAAACAATATTTTAACGCCAAACGCATGTATGGTCATATTATTTACAGTAAAACTAATCTAATTGATTGGACGATAAAGCAAGGTTATCAAAATACGGGTCGTTTCATTCCATATGTAATAGATGAGCAAGATAGGCCATTTTATATACCAAAAGTCGATCTTGAACAATTAAAATTTGTTGTATTGACAAAACGTTTAGAATAAATACTGAGTGTATACTTGATCATGAATAATAAACTACTTGTAGATGCTGGTTTTTAATTTCAATAAAGGACGGGTGATGTTTTCTCAGTCAACAGGACCTATTAAAAACTATCCGACCGATTTTTAGCTAAATTTCACAGAATGAAGGAAATGATGGAAAACTAACGTAGCCAAAACATAGAAGAACCCATCATATTTTGGATAAGCACTGCTTCTTTCAGACATGTAATAAATGACTATCTAGATTAAAATAGAAAATTTGTTCTTTTCTATAAAGAGAAATAAAGTTCTACACACATATATAAAAAACATGTATGTACATAATCTTTTTATGAGACTATGTCTTACTAATCTTTCTCATAAGAAATATGTGAAACAAGTTCAGTCTATCTTTTGGAAAAAAATAATTTTTACTTCAGTATGTTTTTAATTCATTTGAACACACATTATCTCTGATTATGGTGACCCGACGAGAAAGTCGGAAAGTCATGGTAGTCAAAAAGAGTTTATCTGACTCCCGAATATAAAAGAAGAAACTATGATTTTTTAGATGTTAAGCATCAATATTGAGTGACATATATCTCAAAAAATAAAAGGGTCTTCTTCCGAAAACACACCAGTATGTAGTACAACTTGTATACTTCAAACTAGTACGAAAAGTGGAAATAGATCCTCTCTAGTTAATTGAATTTTAATCTGGGAAGTTGGCAGAATATAGGATAAATTCACGGTGAGCATTACTTCTGTCGAACATAGAATAAATGAGCATCTCGATAAAAGTATAAAAATTTTTTTTCAGAAAGAAATTCAGAACACAGAACTTAGTTCACGAAGACAGACAATTCACCATAGTGATGCACTCTAGTTAGTAGACAGTTAAGGCTTTGATGATAGACGAAAATAACCTTATTGAAAGATTAATACAATGTATGAAAGAGGAACTTAGTATGTGCATTTATTCTTTCATGATTTCACATTTTTATCTTTTAGGTACTGTCGTTTTTATTCTCCATCACATTACCTAATTTAGTCTTTTTTTCTGTTTTAGAGTCTCATTCATCTGTTGACGAACTATTGTATTTTTCTGCCCTTGTCTCTCTTCACTAGTGTCACAAATCTCTAAACTGTACATATTAAAGGGTGATAGCACTTTCGTCACGTTAATTTTCGACACATAGAAAAAGGAACTTTCGTCACACATGACGAAAGTGTATGGAATTTTAAGGGGAGTACCACCCCACACTTTGGTCATATGAGTGGTGAACTTTCGTAACCAACTGTGTAACATACCTACAACTATTGTCACACCCCGTCGCGAACTTTCGTCACAACTCAAAAAGAATTTTCGTCGTACTAATAACATAGAACTGATTACATGTGGACTACTTCAATTTTGACTGCTGAAGTGTGAACTACTCCAGACCGAACTACTCCCAAACGCAATAGACGCTTGATTTTGATATTTTGACTTTAGAAAAGACTTCAGAAGGGTTTTTTACACGTTTCGCTAAGAATGCAATGTTTGTGAAGAAAAAAGCAAGAAGTTATTACTCCAATTTGCATTGCTACAGTTTACATTACTGCAGTGTGAACCACTCCAGCTTGGACTACTACACTTTGGACTAATGAATGAGTATAAATTAAGGTATGTTTTGTGGATTCATCGACGAAATGAATGTATATTTAACAAATTGATCAGGACTGTAAATAACTGTTCTGCTATATCAAAGAAAATCGGAAAGTGTCAAAAATCCGGATGTTTTTAAGTCCGCGAAGACTTTTTATCCGAAAATCCTGCTCGCCCGTGCAACTCCATCCGGATGTAATTTCATTCGAATTTAAAATTTCCGGATGAATTTCCCTCAATCAACTCCGGTAAAACCTATTCTGCATGAGTTTTTCACTCGTAATAAAAAGCAATGCAAGTCCGATTGTTAATCAGTTGTATATTAGCCTTAAATCGTACTTGTAGTAAGTCCAGTATGACTTAATGGGGTAAGTCTACAATAGGAAAAATGACTCATATTTCTAGTAATATTTAGTGATATTATTTTTATCTTCTACTTTTTTAGTTCAGGCCGAAGTTACACTAAATTCCAGTTTTAAGTAACTGTAGCAGTCGGCCGACATCACAAAATGATACTCTAGTGTGTGCAGACATGCCTTATGAATGAAACTAACTAAAAATGTGCTTTAATAATGAAACTACTAGTATTCCTATTATATTCTATGACATGCGGACTTGCATTGCTTTTATTACAAGTGGCAAACTCATTCAAAATTTTCCCGGGCTTGAGAGGTTTTTTAAGAAGCTATCGGAGTTGATCGAGGAAAGTCATCCGGATTCCGATATGTCTGAAAAATGATTCATCCGGGCATGCTGGATTCTGGATGAATAGTTTTCAGATGAGTTAAAAAACGGATTTTAATAATCCGGATTTCATGACACTTCCTCTAGAAAATATATACTGCATAATTAAGTTTTACAAACAAGTTGTCTGTCTGCTTGCGACACAGGCAGTGCAAGTTAAAATAACTGTTGAAGGAATTACAAATGTCAAAAATCACAGAAACAGTGTGCGCCAATACAATTCGCTTAGCTATTAGTAAAATTTTTATTTCACAAAACACAACTGAGTGAATGTGACGAAGTGTGAAATGGTCGGAAGCTATATATCACATATGAAGTATAGTAGATAAAATAGTTGATAGTGCCGATACTTCTTTGAAGTTAGTTATCTAAGTGAGATTTGAAGTTTTAACCAACACTAAACATTTTTACGAGTAACCGTTGTATGCTATGTGCAGTCAGAAACTATTATGGGTAGATAAAGCACAGTTATTGTAGTAGTACTGATATCTTAGCTACACCCGATCTCTTAATTTAAAAGGAAGTTTATAACCGCTAAATTTTGACTGAACCTCGTGGTTTGATTGCCCATTCAGTAGAAAATACACTTATTTTTGTAGCTTGTATATGGAACGTGAAGTTTTCCAGTGTTTTTATTGATAGAACTACATTGGTTTTTCTAATGGACACAAGGTGTCTAGCTGTTTTTCTATTGAAGATAGAAAAAAAAATTACGAAAATTATAGAAAAAAACATTATTTTGTGACATCTAAACTTTCATTTCTTACACATGTTTATGCGGCCTATAACTAAAACAAACGTAACTTTATTTCATAGACACACAAACATAGCTAACAAACTGATATCATCATTTTGTTCACACTTAGAACATAATTATAGAGCTCGCCTTTACCGAATCTCCAAAATTGTGTGAAATAGACGAATGGCAACTTTTATCAGTTACATTTTGCCGTCATCGTCAGAAAGAAGCTTGTCGTCGTCATTTCAATGAGCACTGTGAAGCAATTGTGCCAGACGTACAACCGTTAACGGATTCGATCGATGAGTTATACGAAAAAATAAAAAAAGTTGATATTGATCAAATCGCACATAGATCGTTAGATAAACTTCAAGAATGGTTTTGGAAAAGTATTCAAATGGGGCGTGAACTGTTTATATTAAAATATGATGAAATTGTAACTCTTTGCCTGGATAATAAACAATTTCTTGAACAAACACAGAATGATAATCTTGAATTCATTATGCGATTGAAACAGGAAACAGAGACACTGTTAAAGAGGGGAGGCGATTACACTACATTCTAATAGCCGCAGTCACTGAAATATAAATTACGAGAAGCAGAAACGAAATTCAACTTTTTGAATGATAAATATATTCAGATTATAAAAAAAAAACATAATGTATAAAATAAGCATTAAAACATTATGTATCGAGCAGTTTACTGCAAAGCTAAGTTCATATGTTCGAATCTCTATTTGTACAAAATTGATTTTGTGTTTTCCATTATAGCAGTTTAGAATGCTATAATGGAATATATTCAGCCTGTATTGTGACAGAATAAAACTTATATCATAATTATAATCTTAATATTCAACATACATTTGATTATCATTCCATCGACAGTAGCCTTTTAACGATTGAGTTTCAACAGACAATTAACGAATTCTACGATAAGTGAGATCAGCAAAGGTATTTGATATTCAAAATGACGAAAGATAAATTCAGTGCTAAAGAATTTCATAATTTTTGTGATAATAGGAAAAGAACGTTAGTCTTAACTGAAACAAAAGATGCTAACTTGTTTGGCGGTTACACAAGTGTGGTCTGTTGTAGCACACTATCTGGTTTCGTAGAAGATCCAACAGCATTTCCGTTTACACTAAAAAATCCGCATGGCATTATATCAACAAAATTCATAATTCGAGTTGGTGAAATTTGCCATTCTGTTTATAGTGACACTAAGGGCCATGTTTCGGTTTTGGTGATGCGTACATAATGGATCATGCATATTTTATTTTTCCAAATACATTTATTAATATGACCTGGAAAGGTTGTGAGTTATTTACAGGCTCATCGAGTTTTATTGTTCATCAGTTGGAAGTCTATCGATGTCTGTAAATGTTATTTTGATTATAAAATAATTCTTTTTGTATGCGAAAATATCCACGCAGCTTCTTAAAATGACTTCCAAAATCGTTAGTGTTCTACTTAAACTGTTGAACTTTCATAAATGACATGTTTTTGTAGTCTAATTTCGTTGACGAAAGCAAAAAGATTTCTCAATGTGGCTGTGGATGCTGAGGTCTCCAGAGACCTTAAAAACCGCAGTTACAAAACATTGAACTTATATAATTTCGATTAGTTTAGCTGGTTGGCACGCACGTGCCAATCAAAACCATGTCATGTATGAAAGTTCAACAGTTTTAGTGGAAAACTAACGATTTTGGAAGACAGTTTATGCCGCTGCGTAGATATTTCTGCTATACTTAAAAAATAGTTATCATAAAGTTAACTAACTGGTAGTTACCGTTATTTCAATGGTAACTGAAAAGACAGTTATCGTTGTTTTAACGGTAATTGTATTTTCAGTTAACGTTAAATCAACACAACGAGAACTTTTACAGTCTTAATTCGAGGTATTCAAAATGTCACCTATATGAGCCACACAAGATATTTATTATTGGCTCAAAGCGATAAGATCATGTGGTGGGTATAAGAACAGATCGTTACACAATGTTTGAAAAAAATCGTTTTGTCTCTTTCTTGTTCTTTCTATTGTTGAGAAAGGTAAGTCGTTTTCTTTCTCAAAAGCAAGAAAAGCTATTACTTTTTTCGTGGAAAAGAAAAGTTGCCATTTTCGTTTCTCTTAGGAAAGAAAAGATATGCATTGTATCTTAAATCTTTACTTTTGAAAATAAAGATACCATTTTACCGTTACTCTGGAAAGAAATAGGAAAGTGCCACCCCAACAGGAGACTCGTTTGAGTAAAATTTTAAAAGCCCAGATTTTCAGATGAAGCTTTTGAATAACTAAATACAAAACCGTGGGTGTTCGAGAGTTGAGAAATATAATTAGTTTATTAAGCTGCATGACAGAGAGGACTACTGGATGGATAAATAATATCGACTTTGTGTTTATTTAGAGTGCTAATACACTGTATATGTCATTACATTTTCTGGTGCTCAAATTTATTTTGAATAGCTATTAATTAAATGCGGTCTTTTTGCGAGAGATTTGGGCTTACGAAAACTTGTCCTCAGAAAGACCACTAAACGATGACGTTATTCAGCTGCTGCCTTATAAATCAAAATTTATTTGACACATTCTATGCATATACTGTGATACGGAAAGAGAAAAAGATAAGAAAGAGAAAAAGTAATGAAAATTACAAAGCATAAATAAGTGCCCAAAATGTCGAGTGTTTTTTCACCATGTGCTCGATGTTAGTATTTTTTCGTTGAGAAGAGCATAGTCTGAAATTCAAAAAAAGTATAGGAAAGAAAAAAATTTTGTGATTGAGTAAGAAAAATTTTAAAATGCTAGTCATAAGCAAAACAGCTCCTGCCGAGTATTTTACCTTCATCCTATAAAACTCTGTCTTATTTTACCTTAACAGTAAAAGGACATATTCGATTTTCGAAGAAAACAGTACTTTGCATGAGAAAAACAAGACATCGAGAAAATTTCGGTTTAGAATATGTTAGTAAAGATTAAAACTAATATGAGTTTGTAGACTATTGACGTCAAAGAATCCGTTCAGATATATTAAAACCATTAATTACGTTCAATTAACTGTTATTCTGAAACTGATTAAAAACTGGATAAAAAGGTAATTGATCATATTCCATTCAAAAGAACAACGGAAACGCTTATTGTTTCTATCAATCATTATCAAACTCAGAAACAAATTTGAAAGTTCATATTTTTTGAAGTTCAGACTTCTCCCTTTCTACTAAAAAGAAATATTAACTTCCCTGCACATTGAAAATATGGACAAATAATACTCAACATTCCATCCACTCATTATTGCATCGCATCTTAGTCAAACCGTCGGTCGCTTACTTTTATTTTCAACAACAGTATTACTATCCAAAGACATATTTATATTTATTCTAATATTCTTCTGTTTTATGGCTCATTTTATGCTTTTATTTTAAGATTTAACAAATATCAGTCTCCACAACTTCAATGTCATCTATTGTTTCCAAAAGTGTTGAAATATTATCCACTTTATCGTTAGCGTTCATTTATTCAATATATGGAATATTTTTAAGTATTCTAAAATTATATAAAATCGGGCCAAAACGTTTTTTTAATAAAATTGAACGATCAAAACCACCTAGACGAGCACTTGACAGCGATTATGGTACACATGAGATGATGAAACTAAAAGTAAATCGATCTTTACGAATTGGATGTAAATTTTATTTATGTTCGTTTATGTAGACTTCTGGTATAACTTTACATTATGTATCAAAAGGATCATCAAATCAACCGCTGATGTTATTTGTTCATGGTTTTCCAGAGTGCTGGTATAATTGGAGATATCAAATCAAATACTATTCATCAAGATATCAGTATACATGATTGTTCTTTTTCATTTTTATTGTCTTTATTTACATAATAATCTTTTAGTGTTGTGGCAATTGATCAGAGAGGTTATGGGTTAAGTTCAAAATTACCGTCTGTATCCGATTACCGCGCTGAAGTGTTAGCGGCTGATATAGCTGATATGATTCAACAATTGGGTCAGTAAACATTTATATCACTTTAATTTATGACCATCATCATTTATATTTGATAGGCTACAGTTCTTGTATTTTGGTGGGCCATGATTGGGGCGGTGCTATCTGTTGGATGGCAGCACAGATGTAAGTGTAAAAATTTTCTTTTTGTATAATGTCAGGTATTTTGAATTCTATTTACCGATTGCTTTTCAGATATCCACATTTGATTGAAAAATTGATTATTATGAATTGTCCTCATCCTCAAGCATTTCGTACGACCAAATCATTTGCACAAATTCGTCGATCTTGGTGATTACAACTACTTGTTTTTTTAATCATATATTTAAAATAATTGATTGTCTATTGAAGGTACATGTTTTTTTTTCAATGTCCAGTAATTCCAGAAATATTTATTCACTCAGATGATTTTTCATTCCTTGAAGAAGCGATGGTAGAACAACCAATGGGAATAGTTAATTCCAATAATATTGAAAAAGAAGATCTAGAAGTTATGAAATATTCATTTGCACAAAAAGGTAAAAACACTCCATCTATGATCTATACGTGCGTATTCCATCTGAACTTTATAAATATTGTATTAGGTACAGTAAAAGCAGCAATTAATTATTATCGCGCATCATTTCGATATAGATCAAAACATTCCGTTCACGAACCTATTACCGTTCCTACATTGCTCATATGGGGCGTTTTGGATCAAGCTCTTGGTGAAGAATTAGCTGATGCATCCACAAATTATTGTCATGACATTCGCTTAAAAAAGATTCCAAATGCTAGTCATTGGGTTCAACAGGATGTACCAGATCTTTGTCACAAGTATATGGATGAATTCTTAAATGAAGAAACAAACTAAGCATTTAAGATTTTACTTTATTATAGTTTCTGTCTATATGGTCAACATAAATAATATTTAGTTTTGCGTTTAATTCATTCAATTGAGTATTTTTATTTAATACATTTTCTAACTGCTATGTGTAATGTACTCCATTGCGAGATGAAATGAAAAGACACAAAAATAGCTAAAACTTTTGATCTATCCATTGTAGAATTGGAAGTATCTTTTTTTAAGATCTATGTAGAATTTGATAAATTCATTGCTTATGAACGAATAGGATGTTCTTAGAGACTTCGTTTTCTTGTCGAATAAACTTACTTTGTGGATAATCCAGTGTAAGATTAAGAAAAAATTTTTATAACGGAGAATAGTTTTATTATTTTCGTATGCAGGATCTTTTGTAATACTAGTAACTGTGGGTTAAATTCAATGCTGAATAGGAATAATTTACACCATGGTCTCAATTTAACACATAAAGTGTGCGACAAACGCTCAGGACGCTCATATTTCAGTCATACTCAAATATATTGCAAGAGAATTGTACGACAGCGAAAATCGTCAGCTTGAGTATACGTCTGGCAGAGATCATTAAACCTTTAAAAATCACTAATCCATACAGTTATGTGCTGATCTACCTATTTATATGCTTTAATATAATTTATATGATTTATATGATATTATTAATTTATATGATTCAATATAAATATACCGTAGTATTTTACATATTTAAAGAAAGATGTAGATATCCATTTATCTATCTGGCCATTTATCTATTTTTTAACGTATGGTTTTATTACATATTCGGGTTCTACGCTTCAAACTGAGGTTATGAAACAATGTTTAGACTCTTCGAACTTATTTTGGCTGAGTTATAGAATTTTCAAAATGAGGTGTATCAGAGTTTTGCGAAAAAGTGCTTCCCTCAGTATTTTACGCATATCTCCGCTAAATTTTGTCCATTCTCTTTGAGCAACATTTCATTAGAGCGTCTGACAAAAACTGAACAAAACCACGGGGTTTTAAATGTTTTTGAAGTATGACGTCGATGTATTAAAAATCAAACATTTGAAAATTCGTGTTTTTAAAATCGAAATTTTTCGAATAAAACTAATTTTTTGGCATCCAAGTAGCATTTGCCCCAGCTAAAAAATATTGCATCAAATAGAGGATTAAATTCTCTCCAAATTGAACTATAAAGCCTTATTTCAAGAGGTGGGCAAAACTGTGAAAATTTAAGAACAAGATGGTGGACTAAGATCACTTTTTCTGTTTTTTTGATTTTTCACAGACTAACATCAACTTTAACAGAAAAATAAGATAATATTCGGAATCAGCCGCCGAAACTGCTTCCGGTGATATGCTTCGCAAAGACTTTGAAGGAACAAATTTTGAAGCGAAAAACGGTGAAAACAGAAAAGTGCAAATTGAATAAAGCAATGCAAAATTTGCTGAAAGTTTGATCAAAATCGGATGTAAGACAAAAAAGATTTTTTCTGAGGGGGGGGGCCCTTAAGAGAGGTTTCGCCAGACGATCAAGTGTATAGCAAATGAGGCGTAATCCGAAATTTTTCAACGTATGGTTTTATTACATATTCGGATTCTACGCTTCAAACTGAGGTTATGAAACAATGTTTAGACTCTTCGAACTTATTTTGGCTGAGTTATAGAATTTTTAAAATGAGGTGTATATTGCGTCTGACAAATCTGGCTCTCGAACCGAAAATGTCCGAAATTAAATTTTACATATTTTATGGATATGCTTTATTATGGCGTTTGTTGAGTGATTTTTTATACATTTTCCATGTTTTACGCATGGGGACTTCTGTTTTTTCCGTGATTTGGTCCACTCAGGGTTTGGGTTTTGTTGTAGTTGGTGATTGTGTGTGTTTGACGGACAGGTGGGTATGTGTGTTGCTGTGTATCGGATTTCGTTGTCAATGTGTATCGTTGGTGGTACTGGTGTGGTGCAAGTGGTTGCTTTGGTGCGACATCTGATAGTAGGCGGTTGTATCGTGTTTGGTAGTTGTATGTTCAGCACCGGTGTGTTTGTAGTTTTGTGTGGTTGTTCTTTCTAGAGTGTCAGAAGCCATATACTGTTGCTGGGGTGCAGATTCGTGTATGGTGTACTGAGGTTTTGGTAATGTTGTGACTTGTTCGTTGATGCTGATTAGAATGTTTAGTGTTGACGCGTATCTCGCTGTCTGCTAGCTTGTCCGGCTTGCTCGTTTGGGAATATTTTGAGGGCGTATTTGTTTCTTAGATGCCAGCCAGAGTTAGCTTTTTAAACTTCCCGAGGGGAGCCAGAGAAAACTACTTGTGAACTTTCGGAAGAAGTAATACGAATATTTTCCTCATTTTGGACTATTTTCAAACGATCTTCACAATGACTTCTAGGCGTATCAAAATCAGTTTTAAGTACATAACTCTAGTAGTTTTATTCAACCATACCGAAGACAACATTTTCTGTAAGTTGCGAATTTCGCGCACCGTACATGTCGGGTTCGTTAGCACCAGGATCTTTCAGTCAAGGTTAGTGAATCGAAGATGAGCGTTACTTGTATTTAAAAATTCACTATTCGCTCAAAATACATCAGAACTAGTTCAAAACTTCAGGATATGGTCAATTCTGTCCGCTAAACGTGATTATAAGATCGAAAAATCTAAAAAGCATATTTTTGTTAATGGGTTTTCCAGAAAACCTTTTGAGAAAACCTTAGAGTTCTGTAAAATCTCTTTCTAAATATTCTGTGAATAGGATATAGAACAGCCTAAATACTGTACATTCTGAAGTTTTGAACTCGTTCTGATGCATTTTGAGCTAACAGTGAATTTTTAAATATTAAGTGAAAACAGCCTGAAAACCCCAATTTTCGTAAAACTCCTTTTTCGATAGTTTCTAAGAACTTTTTCTAAAAGCAAATATTGTCACGAGACTCAGCATGATTAATTACCCATAGTCCACTCGTTTTCAAGGTTACCAATAGTCACCAGGTGCTAGTCCTGGGACTGGTAGGAAATGCGATGCAGCGCCCAAGCCACGGAAAATCAAGGTGTCGTTTGACTCCCGTCTTCAAGAGGACATCTCGGGCTATCAGTCTATGAGGAAAAATCAATACAATCCTATTCGAAATTTTTTACACGCGACCTGGTTTTTCAAAGATCTCCTAGAAAACCTGTTTCAGGAAACCCTTCTGAGGACTCTCTAAGCTTGTTCACCCATGCATTGTACTCAGCATCATTAGGTATTCTTTTTGTACAAAAATCACTTCCATAGCATCAGTGCGTCAGTTCGAAATAAAATAGTCGGTTTTTGTACAGAGGGTCTCCAGAAAACCTCCGAAAACCCTCTCAAAAGCCATTAATATGGTATCAAATCATATGTATTCTGAAAGTAGACACTTCAGGCTATTTTTGTATGTACTTATCTCAAAATCCGAGAATGGTCATTTCTGAGGGGGGGGCCCTTAAGTTCGCCGCGAATGCAAATTGTGCACGACATCATGTGGCACATAGATGGACTGTGCGCAGTTTAAACAATGTTTGGAAAGTTAAAGATGAATATTATTTCGTTAATTTCAGGTTCAATGTTCAATGAAAGATGTAACTTACTACAGTTAGTCTATACTAGAAATTATTTATGTTTTCGTCTCGCATACTGCAGCAACGCTTTTTGAAGAGACTGGCTAAAAGCGGAGCCTCAGTTCTTTTCTATCGTACGCAGAATATGTTTGATGAATCATTCCATTCTGTCAATGTCACTTATGCTGTCTTAGTACCAAATGGTATACTAAGGTGAGCTTCCGCACTAACAGAGGCACCACCCTTAGCTGCGTGACTGTTGGCATGTTCATTCATATTTGCTTTATTGAAATCATAGTACAGACTGTTAAAATTACGGTGCCTTCATAGTTCGAGTAAACCTACTGCTCAAATACACATTCACCCATTTCTCGTTGAATAAAGAAAAAAACTGAGCATAGTTTTAAAATATCAGTCTCGGACTGTTCAGTGCAGTGTGCTCCCCTTTTCTATGTGGCTGTGTTCATAGAGAATAAATAATATAGTTTACTGTTTGAAAGGGTGGCATTAAACTAAATTCTTTTCCAGCTCCCACTGTTCCTGTTTTGCCATTAATTGTATGACCGTGATTGCCATCTGCATTAATTGTAATGTATGTGCGTCCCTTTGGAATGCTATGTGAATGTTTAATATCATCTTTACCATGTCCTCTGCTTCCCTTCATTTCCCAGTTTCCCGATCCAAATTGTGATTCACCTGTAGAGCCACCATGATCATGTCCTGGATCAATGATAGAATGCGTATGACTGCCGCTGGTGGAGGCCGAAAGTGTTCCGTGACTATGTACATGTGCTGGAAGCTCATCAGTGGTTAAACTGTATGTTGAGTTTCCACCTTCCATTCCACATACACCAGCCATTTTGACACGTTCTCCAAATTCATCTACACCAACTGGTATACGGCCACGAAAGTCCGGTAAGTTGAATGTTTCAACACTGTCACCATTTCCATAGGTTTCGCCAATTGCACGAAAGAGGTTCGGGTATTCGTTGCGTGATACAGCTGAGCCATTGCAAATGAGCCACGGTGCCGGGGGAGTTTGAGTTCCAGCATAGAGACGTATTTCCCCTGTTAGAATCATGTTAGATCTAAGTAACTTTTCTGAGATAGAAATGGTTGTCGTAGTTGAAGGAATAGATGTTGTAGTGGTTGTAGTAGATTCAGCTATAGGTGGCGGAACAGGAAAATTCAATGCACTTATCGTTCTTACAATTGCACCATCTTTCTTTTCCGCAATCAGTTGTTTTGATATGATACCAACTTGTACTTGATCAGTTAGATCACTCAGCTTGTAAACTTGAAAGGATTTCGGGCTTATTTTTTCACCTTTGAATTGCAGTTCTGTACCCTGTTGTGTAAACATACGTTTAATATCATCTGATGAAAACTGATTATTTGTTGTTTCATTCAGTTGATTGTAGAGCGAACCGGATGAACTATCAGCTGTTTCACCGTAGGCACTAGCACTGACTTTTGCTCCACCGCTACCAAATGGTACACTGAGATGAGCTTCCGCACTAACAGAGGCACCAGCCTTGGCTGCGTGACTGTTGGCATGTTCATTCATATTTACTTTATTAAAATCATAGTACAGACTCGTAGAATTACGTCGTTTCGTTTCAGTATCATTGTACGTAAACATTTTACTCAGTTCTTCTGTAATACGATCGGGATTCAGATCGTACGGTGACCACATCTGACCGAATGTATCTGCTTCAAGAAGTGTTTCTTTTGAATTTTCCATTGCTAAAGAATGTACATAGTGCGAGTAGTGAAAAATCTTAACGCTAAGTACTTTAGAAGCGAAGCTCGAATTAAAGCCACTGTCCGCAGAGAACTTTGCTCGTACTGAATTCGAACGTCCTGTATTGGGTACTCTCTCTCGATTAGGGCATCATGCTGTCATCTTACCCTGTTGTAACAATGCTGTAAACTGATCATCTAAACCATCGGTCATCTGCGACAAATTTGCATTTGGATTTTCAATGTACATCATTTTCTTTACATTAGCAACATATCTCCCAACGTATTTGGATGCTTGATTACGATGTATGTACGTTGCATTTGTATTACCGCCGTCTGCTGTCGTCTTACTCAATACACTTTTCAACTGGTCACCTGTAATCGACACGAAATTGACTTGTGCTTCACGTATACCGCCAAAATAGAACGCAATTTCAATTTCATAATCGCCGTTGAACAATTTCTCAGCCACATTGCGAGCTTTCTTTTCCGTTGTGCAGCGAAACCGGAATGTTAGATACAAAGAATTTGGATGTATAGCACGATAGGGATCAACACCTGCAACCGGTGACGAACTATCTTGGACAATGTAGGCCATTAAGGTTTCAATGATCAATGGTACGACATCCCAAAACTGTGATGAGGCGCAGTCGTCGGTGGAATTGTATTTTCGACGAATAGCCTCCCGAGCTAGCTCCTCTACTTTCTCATTTCCCAGCATTAGTCGGAGACGAACTTCATTTCCAACAGCTGAAACCCATCGTTGATGATTCGGCAGTTCAACAGGAGACATAACTGGCAGATAGAAGAAGAGCCATTTGTTCGGTAGAGCATTTTCATTCGATTTCGATTCGTACACGTAGACTCGACTTTCATCATAGGTGAACACCGTCAAAATATTCGTATTGATGACAGCTTTGGCCAAGGTTGGAGCATTCTCCTTATCATCAGTCGTTGCTGGAACTACTGCCAGTGAGTCAGCTTGCGGAAGAATGTGATTGCTCTCAGAACTGGTATTACTGGTGATGAGAGCAACCGTAGGCAGAATGAAAAGTAAGAATAGATAACAATCAGAACAGAACGACATGGTGAGAAAAGAAACTCAGTCAAAGCAAAGCAGCAACATCAGTTTTATATACATTTTAGAGAATGATTCAAGTGGCATCGTATTTCAGAAGCATGACATTCACGTCAAAGCATCAAAAATCTTTTATTTATTTGGAGCTTTGCATTTCACCGTATCTTTGTTGACACTAAAGTTATTAAGAGGAATGAAATATAATATGTTGAATAAGTATTGCAATTGTCTGACCTTGAAAACAAACTGGCGTCTTTTATTATCAATAACTACGAGATATCAGGCGTCCATAACTAAAATAAAAAAGTCGTCTAATTCTCATAATAAAAACTGCAACTTTGCATTTGGTACTCTAAACTCGTTGGGATATTTTTGAAGCAGTCATAAATTTTTTAACATCAGTAGAAACTAGTTTGGAAACTCTAATTTCATCAAATTTGGTTTTCGCAGGCGATGATCATAGACTATAGTCGACAACTTATGTCAAAATTTTATGTTTTAAGAACCATTGTCTGATAGAGCCCGACAGATCGAGATACTTGATGTCACCAATCGGGTGAAGAAAATAGGTCTCGAAAAGCCTTTTGAGGCAAAAGCTTTAAAGCAAGGATAGCAAAAGGATTTTTTCCTAGAAGTTTAAAATCGGTTTTTGACAGAGCTCGGTTTCTTCTATCTACCCTGAACGTCTGGAGCCTGGATCACGTTCGTCCAAGGAGGAAAGTGGGTCACAAATGTTGCATGAAAAACCGAGATTTCTCCGGGACGATTCAATATTTTAGATAAAAGTTTTAGAATGAATAGTCTGTATGAAGATACATCTTCCCTCAAAGTATAATATATTTAAGAAGTAATAAATGGCAGTTACAGTTCTGTATGATGTGAGAATCAGCCTCTGTTCTTTTGAGAACAGCTGGCGGTATTCCTTGCTCAAAAAACTGAACTGGAACTGTTGCCATGTTATATGCGCCTGTGTAATACAGTATCATAATACAGTAGTGTAACGATCTGACAGTTTAGAATCGTTCTATCAAACTAATCTTCTACCTATGAAATTTGACCCAGCGATAAAGGACGAAGAGTGTGAAAGAACGCTAATGATGAAATTCGAAATAGTTCCGTTTAATCTGATGTGTGTCGTGAGGTAAAAGTAGAGGAATGAGTTTGTGTCGAATACGTGAAATAAATAATCATATTAAAAGTTGGTTTTTCATTTCCTCACCTTGGTCAAATTAAAATAGAATCGATTAACTTTAAGAATTAGATCATGTGACAGTGAAATAGGTTAAATATTAATCCTACAGTCGACAAAGTTATTGCGAACGTGAGGAAATAAACAAGCACATACTGTCGATTCAACAACTGTTTTAAGGTCTTTTCAAATGCTTAGCAATATCAAACCAAGAATGGGACAACCGCAGCCGCTTTTTAACTTTTCTTGGTCATGTGTCTATCTCTTTTGCATTATAAATAAACACCATCGTAAAGAAAATTCAGCCATCACAAGTAAAAACTTTCGTACTTTTTAGCCATCATGAGAAACATAGCCAACAAACATGTACACTGTAACCTTGAATTAATTTCCAGTTTATAGAAAATCGACCGAAAAATCACTAGGGATTTTCTAGTTTATAGAAATTCCTCGACGAATTTCCAGCTTTCTAGGAAATGTTGATTTTCTACTTTATAGAAAATCAACTTGATTTTCCCTAAATTCGATTTTCTGTAAAGGTGAAGAATCGCTGAGGATTTTCTATAAATAATCTCCAAGAATCTGAAAATTCGATTTTGATTTTCTACTTTATAGAAAATCAGGGTTGAATTTCTATATAAATAATTTCCACGATAGATGTCGGTGGAATGGACTAATCAGAGACAAAGCATTCTTGGAAATTTTAGGGAAATTCAACGACGATTTTCTATAAACTGGAAAATCCTCGAGGAACATTACCCGAGTTTTCGTACTACACATCTGGGCGTTTTAGGCAGTACGTGCTTATTTGATATCTAACTAATTGAAGATAAAGCTGTAATCAAGTTTTAACGAGTAGATTCACCAGTAACACCAGTTGTTGCGTTAGTTTTTTCAAGTTTTGTTTCTTTCAAATCCAGTTTCAAAAATTTTTGGAAGAGTCGTGGCGGATCTGTTGTCGCGGTAATGTGGGTTGGGGAAAATGTCGACTGTCCTCTGGCACTATCCATACCCCCACCTCTCACCACACACTGCGTGAAATGCCCAAATGTGTACTATGAAAAATTTGTGGAAATGTCGCTGTATCAAAGAAAGCGAGAACAATTTTTAGCAATACTACATGTCATACACGCTTTCTAAGAGACTCTGGATGCTTTTGCAACAATTTACTGGCGATAACTTGGGATCCTAAATAATAGGAATGCCACGGTGAAATGCCTATTGTAATGCAGTTTTTCGGATAAAAAACAAGAAAGAAAAAAATCCCAATTGAGAATAGTTGTAGGCACCGAATATATGTTTAAATTATGTCAGACAACACACCTCTGAATCAATTATATCGAATGCTCCGACATGACAAGGGATATCAGCATTCATCATTCTTTGGCAAATCGTTTCCCGGATAAAAATTGAGCGAGCTATTGCAGAAATACGACGAAATTTTGAGGACCCGACTATAATTACTCCAGCGCACTCTATATCTCTATTGACATTTGCTTCGCATAGAACAACATGGAAATTCTTTTGTGCAATTAATCGCTCATAACTCACTCATTTTTCGACGAACTTAAACAATTTTTTTCACTGTTAGGCTCACATGAGAAATGTAAAAACTTTTTTCGCTACTGAAAAATGTAAAAACTCCAAGACTTGAACCCATTGAAACCCTGCAAAGGACTCGATCAAAAGTCAACAGAATCTTCTACTCATTCGTATAACATGCACATATACATCGTTGACTTCGATCACAAGAAAACAGATTTCGCAATTAGGAGCATTTCAAAATTCCTGCCGTTCGCTCTGCCTCTCTGACGATAATCAGGGCTATTCACGGCCATGTATCTCAAAAACTAAAAGGGATCCGTTTCTAAAAAGTAGATCAGTATCGAGTGCAACTCGTATACTTTAAACTGTTAGAAGAAATGGGAATGGGACTTTTCTAATTAATGTAATTTTTAGTCCATGAAGTTGGCACAATACGAAATAAATTTACAGTGAACACTCACCTTCTTGAATATATAAAAGACGAACGATGAAAATATGATGAAAATATAAAATTGTTATTCTTTTCTCATTTTATTCTTTAAACAGAAAAACAAGAAAATTTCTCTTATGGAATAGTCTAAATATCCAAGCATCAAAAAAAAATCTAGTATCGCCCGATTCATCTGGATTACTAGATTTTTACTCGATTGCAACTACTGTGTAACGACCATGGAATCTAGTAATTGGGCGATTACTAGATTTTTTCTAGTTGCAACTATCGATTTACCGCCCGATAATCGATCTATTTAACTATTACTAGATGCACCTGCAGACGCATCTAGTTAAAAGTCCATTTTCCAACTAATAATCTAGATGGCAACTAGTCGTGTATCGCCCGATTATAGACGAAATGTATCTGGATTTTTCCCATAGGTGATATTTGCTTTGGCAGAGTAGAATAAACGTAAAAGAGAAGTATATTATATATTTTTAATAGGTTGATAATAGAATAATCTTTTGAAACATAGCGGTTAGTTGTCTTTGAAGAAGTAATCAAATGAATTAGAAAATAAAATAAAGTTCCTATATACATCTATATAAAAAGTTTTATAAAATGAAATGTTATGTAAAGTGGAATATAGAAATAATCTCATATAAAAGAAATATTAGATCGTATTCTTTCAAAACAATTACAGATATCGGTTGTTTAACTGAGTAGTGTTGATCAAAAGACATATATACCCGATACTAACAATCAAACATAGTACTGACTTACCATGATGTTGTCTTCTTTAATATTTGGAAATAGTTGAGAAATTATTATAAACTACAATACTCAATATATACAAATAAGAATTCCTATTTATGCATTTAATCGTGAATCGTAAAGCGAATTTCAGTAAAAGACTCTGTCGGATTTTAAAAGTATGCAGAACCAGAAAGTTATATTTCAGGTTTTGTAGAGCTTAGTTTGGATTAATACCTTCTGGTTACCGAGATCGGGTGTCACCATGTTTTTGGTCTTTAAACGATCTTTATGCGAAATAGAAGTAAGACTAGAACTTCAATGAAACTCTATAGTTAAAATAATATAAAGAATAGTGCATAGACCTTTTATACACAGAAAATACTGAGTATCATATATTCATACTGATATATATTACTATTTGAATTAATAGAGTTTTTTTTATCAAATAAATATTGTTTTGCTTAATTATGAAATTATTCTTCTTCCTTTATTCGCATAGTAAATTATTCAACATCTTTATAGCAAAGATCACCATCAATACATTGAGTAAAAAACCTATATATATATATATCAGTAGTAAATAAAAGTAACTTGTACGATGGATTCTTCGTTCCACATGTTGTAATATCATGAACTTTTTGTAAATCATAAGCGACGAATACAGGCAGATAGAATAAAACAGTTGATATTCCTGTTATTAATATCAAACAATAAGCTATTTCTCTACGATAAAACTTTTGCATTGTAATATTCAAAGAACGAAATGCACGCATATCTATTACTGATATTAAA